AAAGAAATTTCCTATGGGAAGGCAACAGTGACAAGAAGAAGCTCCATTTGGTCAAATGGAACTCTCTTACCACTAGCAAGAAGACAGGGGGATTAGGAATCAAAGATCTGAGAATCCAGAACCAGAGTCTGTTGATGAAGTGGCTATGGAGATTTGTGGCTGAGGAGCAAACACTGTGGAGAGAGGTAGTTAGGGAGAAATATGGAATGGAAGGAGAATGGACAACCAAACTAGTGAGAAGTCCATATGGTGTCAGTGTATGAAAGTCAATTCGGAACTTATGGCCAAAAGTGAGGGACAAGGCAAAGTTTAAAGTTGGGAATGGTAGGAAAATTTCCTTGTGGGAAGAAAATTGGCTAGGCCAAGGCCCTTTGAAGCTACTCTTTCCTGACATATACACCTTGAACCAACAACAAGCAACTTTAGATGAGGTATGGACTAATCAAGGTTGAAACCTTACATTCAGAAGACTTCTAAATGATTGGGAAATTGATAGAGTAATTGAGTTTTACAAGACCCCGGAGCTATTCACCAGAACCAACTCTAATCAAGATCTCATCATATGGCAAGGGAACATGCATGGGAAATTTTCTGTTAAGTCTGCATATAAGGAATTCAACCTATCAAACAACCAGGTTGGTTGTTGGCCATGGAAGATGATATGGAAAGTGAAAATCTCCTATAAGGTTGCTTGCTTTTCATGGCTACTAGCAAAGGAAGCGGTTCTAACTCGGGATAATCTAAGTAAAAGAGGTTTCACTTGTGTTCTAGATGTTACTTGTGTGGCGAGGAGGCAAAGACAATTAGTCATCTCTTTTTGCATTGCAAAATCACTGTACAAATATGGGAAATTTTTATTAGCTTAAAAGGAATCGTATGGGCAATGCCAGGAAGAATTCTTGATGTTCTAGCATGCTGGAATAAAGAGGGCAACTCTTCTAGCCATAAAGAGAGATGGAGCAGTGTCCCAGCCTGCATTTGGTGGACAATCTGGGAAGAGAGAAATCGGAGATGTTTTGAAGACAAGTCCAGTAACATCCAGAAGATAAAGATGAAGTGTCTAGCTCTTTTCTATTTTTGGTGTAAAGGAAATTCTTTAGAGGATCATGAATCCATTTTTGATGTCCTAGATTCCTTGTGAGAAGACCAAGGATCATAGGTGCTTTCCCATTTTTTTTTTTTTTTTTT